TTGCTCCTAGTAGTAAGGCCAGGAGCCCCTAGTAGCGTCCTTGCTCCGAATCGTAAGGCCAGGAGCCCCTAGTAGCGTTCTTGCTCCACTAGCAGTAAGGCCAGAGCCCCTAGTAGCATCCTTGCTACGATAGTAGTAAGGCCAGGAGCCCCTAGCAGCGTTCTAGCAAAGGCTAGGAGCCGCTAGTAGCGTCCTTGCTCCTAGTAGTAAGGCGAGGAGCCGCTAGTAGCGTCCTTGCTCTTAGTCGTCAGTAAGGCCAGGAGCCCCTAGTAGCGTCCTCGCTCCTAGCAGTAAGGCCAGGAGCTCCTAGTAGCGTCCTTGCTCCTAGTAGCGAGGCCAGGAGCCCCTAGTAGCGTCCTTGCTCCTAGTCCTTGTTCCTACTTGCTTTTAGAAGTATGGACAGGGTCCCCAGTAGCCTTCTTGCTCCTAGCAGTATGGCCAGGAGCCCCTAGTAGCGCTCTTGCTCCTAGTAGTATGGCCAAGAGCCCCTAGTAGCGTTCTTGCTCTTAGTAGTAAGGCCAGGAGCCCTTATAGTAGCGTTCTTGCTCCTAGTAGTATGGCCAGGAGCCCTAGTAGCGTCGCTAGGAGCAAGGACGCTACTAGGGGCTCCTGGCCTTTGCAGCAAGGACGCTACTAGGGCTCCTGGCCTTACTGCTAGGAGCAAGGACCCTACTAGGGGCTCCTGGCCTTACTACTAAAAGCAAGTGGGAACAAGGACGCCACTAGGGGCTCCTTGTCCTTACTAGTAAGAGCAAGGACGCTACTAGGGGCTCCTGGCCTTACTAGTAGAGGAAGGACGCTACTAAGGGCTCCTGACCTTACTACTAGGAGCAAGGACGCCACTAGGGGCTCGGCTCCTGGACTTACTACTAGGAGCAAGAACGCTACTAGCGGCTCCTAGCCTTATTACTAGGAGCAAGGACGCTACTAGGCGCTCCTGGCCTTACTACTAGGAGCAAGGCCTTACTACTAGGAGCAAGGTTGCTACTGGGGGCTCCTGGCCTTACTACTAGGAGCAAGGACGCTACTAGAGGCTCCTGGCCTTACTACTAGCGGCTCCTGGCCTTACTACTAGGAGCAAGGACGCTACCGGGGGCTCCTGGCCTTACTACTACGAGCAAGGACGCTACTAGGGGCTCCTGGCTTTACTACTAGGAGCAAGGACGCTACTAGGGGAGCAAGGACGCTACTAGGGGCTCCTGGCCTTACTACTTGGAGCAAGGACGCTACTAGGGGCTCCTGGCCTCACTACTAGGAGCAAGGACGCCACTAGGGGCTCCTGGCCTTACCACCAGGAGCAAGGACGCTACTAGGGGCTCCTGGCCTTGCTACTAGGAGCAAGGACGCCACTACGGGCTCCTGGCCTTACCACTAGGACGCTACTAGGGGCTCCTGGCCTTACTACTAGGACCAAGGACGCTACTAGGGGCCCCTGCCCTTACTACTAGGAGCAAGGACGCTACTGCCGGCTACTAGGAGGAAGGACGCTACTGGGGGCTCCTGGCCTTACTACTAGGAGCAAGGACGCTACTAGGGCTCCTGGCCTTACTACTAGGAGAAAGGACGCTACTAGGGGCTCCTGGCCTCGCTACTAGGAGCAAGAAGGACGCTACTAGGGGCTCCTGGCCTTACTGCTAGGAGCAAGAACGCTACTAGGGGCTCCTGGAGCAAGGACGCTACTGCGGGCTCCTGGCCTTACTAGGAGCAAGAACGCTACTAGGGGCTCCTGGCCTCTCTACTAGGAGCAAGGACGCTACTAGGTCTGTCCGAAATCCCGGAGCCGCCCGGAGCTGCCTGGGTGTTTTCGCTTGATGTCGTGGCCGCCCAGCCCGCGCCACGGGAGATTCTTGGGAGGTGCTCCTTTCAGGGTATCCACTCAATCCACTCGTTAATTCGAGAAGTTGAGGATTGTCCGTTTCTGCATGAAATGTGCCAGGTCTTCAGTGTCTAACTAGTTAGGATCTGAGAATCAAGAAATCCTGAGATGTGGTCACCAGGTGGCAGCAAAGACAAAAACAAAGTTTCAAACTAGAAGAGACTAAAGCAGTGCATCCTCTGCAAGGTGAAAGGAGCCTTTTCATGATTAAAAGGTCTTTCAAGGCCCACCTGTTCCAAGACGCTGCTGCTCCATCTCACTTGTGGCGTCATGTGGCACTGAAGCCTGAAGTAAAGCGGGGAACCAACAAACGCTGATGGCATCCTGCACACCTCAAAACTGCTTGCATGATGCAAAAAGGCTCTGTGACATACAGAAGCCACCTTGCCTCATCACAAAAAACTGTGAGGCCATCAGGCGACTCACTACCAAGAACTGCGCGAGAAGTACCACAACTTGCAACGTAGATGCCGCTCCTCATGATCCGAGGTCCAAGGAAAGAAAGCTCTTTGTCAACAGGCTAAATGGATGCCGTGCAAGCTACGCAACTTGCAGCGCATGAACTGTTGACAAATCATCTGACTGGCGACCTGGATCAAAAGAGCTTGGGCTTCTCTCTCCTTGTCACCTTGTCACCACCGTGAGCAGCGCCGAGCACAATTGTGGAGCGTCCAACTGTTGGTCACACTGTGCGAAGGCCACTGAGAGCGCCTGGAGCAGGAAAAAAACAACACTGTTTGGTCAAGGGTTCCTGAAAAATCATCTTGGCCACCTCACACCTCTGCCACCCCCCGCCTGGGCCCAAGCTTCAGCAGCGGCCTCGTCACTTCTCAACACCTCCCCGTCGCGTCCACTTCGTGACCACAAGGGAGCCTAGCCAAGCATGTCAGAATGTTCGCTGAAATGCCCGGAATCACCTACCAAAAAAGGACTGAGATGACGTACTTATGAAACCGAAATACTAGTCCTTGCCGTACCTCTCAAGACCACATGCAAAGGATATACTGACTGAGCCTGTGCATTGTTGAACCAGCATTGACATCTTTATCATTGGAAGGTGGCTGGTCCTGCTGGCACTGGGGTTCAACTGCGCCGCACGACCACCCCCTCCCTCAAAAGTACTGAGTTGCATGGCACAGGTCGTTCTATTCTGGGAAGGTTACATACTCCTTGATGCTGCAAGACGTTAACATGTATTTAGTATTTCTTGTGGGCCCATGGTCTGCCTGTGGAGCCGCTTCTACCATCGCATCCATCAACCACTTTGAATCTAGGCATCTCCTCAGTCAGGTAGAAACAACTCCACAACTCCACAACTCCACGCCTGGGTAGTTTGCTGCCTGAAGGCCTCGACAGCCCGGCGGGGCAAATCAGTAGCACATTGGGCTGCGGCAGCACCTCCGCTGCTTGGATGGCGAAAGAAGGGCTTTTGAGGAGCCAAGCGTTCTTGTTACTAGTAGCGATGCCCTTTGCTCCTAGTAGCGATGCCCTTGTTCCTAGTAGTAAGGCCAGCCCCTAGAAGCGTCCGATCGCTCCGTTCGTAGCGATGCCCTTGTTACTAGTAAGGGAGACTTAAGGGTCCGAGACTTGGAGGTGCTGAACGCGCCTCCGTGTGCAAGTGCAAAGCAATGCCATTTTTCCAGAACACCCAAGCGACCCTGTGAGTCAGGCCACCGGGCTGCCCAATAGCGCCTGAATCAAACTCTTTTGAAACATCTCGGGCCAACTCTCTACAAGAAGAATGAAAAAAGAAAAGAACATTATGCAAAAATAAATAACATCACAATGTCATGTCATGATTCTCGAGACATTTTGAATGCCGGCCAAGTCGAGTCTTCAAATCCGAGGGGCACTCCACTGTCAGGGCAAACACCTGACCAGTCAGGGAGGTCTTTTGGCCTTTTTGAAAAACCATCGGACGACCATTTAAATCAACCCACCGCCCTGAAAGACCATTCAGCACATCTTGATCCAAAACAATTATTTTAAAGCTGGAGACAAGCCAAAGTCTCCACGAGCAGAAACTCAAAAAATCACCAATCCGTCCTCACAGTTGAGGAAAGTCCCCAGATACTTTTGCGAACATGTTTCGGATTCCAATACTCTCAACAATCAACGGTGCAGAGCAGAGTAAAGCTTCACTGCATCGAATCTTGACTTGGCAAATAGCGCTAGCTGTGCCTTCAGTATGTTCATCAAACTTCGCAGCAATGGCGCATTTGATCAAAAACCAAAGCAAGTCTGTACAAAACTGTATCATGGGCGGTAAAGCCACATATAACATATATGTGCTTTAATCATCTTTAATCTGATTATCTTTATGTGCCCTCAAACCTGACTCGCCTCATAAAAGTCCAGCCTTGTAAGGTGCTTTCTGCATCACAGCGAGTGCCAGATCCTCCCTGACAAAGCAAAGAAAAAATGTTTCCATGTCTAACCAAAGAAATGTCTAAGCAAAAATCTGGGTGCAGGCGACAAGCCCAGCTTTTTTGACGATAAGCCGACAAGCCGATATCGGATAAGCCGATAAGGCGGAACCCGGCCGGCCGAGCTTTGTGGGACACAGCGGAGATCGGGCATGGTGGCGCAAAATTATCTGTGTGTTGTTTGGCCTTTGTGTTCCTTTCTTTCCTTATGTGTCTTCTTTTTTTTAGGACAGGGTAGGCCGTAAAGAAGAGGTAGCTGCTGGTTAGTTACTACCTGGGACGCAAAATAGCTCACGCACTATATATTCATTTGGTTCCTAGACTTTTAGAAAGCATCGTAATATGCTCCTATAGCAAAAGGTTGCCGATTGCAGAGCCCACAAGTTGCGGACACCACTGTCGGCCAAACATTTCACAGAAACCTCGCATGCTGCCTGAGGCTAAGAATAAGTCCGCAAGAGGTACTATGAGGCACCGATACGCCGATAAGCTGATTGATAAGCTGCTGGAGGGCAGCATCGTGCCATGAGGCCAGTACTACGTCAATGAGCTAAGCCAATAACTACCGGAATCCTGCGGGTGGGATATCAGGTGGTCGATATGCCGATAAGCTGATAAGCTGAGAAACAATAGTGGGCAGCAGGGGGGCGGGTTTTCGGGCTATCTGGGAAAAATCCCTCATTGAAATGGGCTGTCAGTCCTGATTGTGAATCACATTCCGGAAATGACACAAATGGGTAAATCTAGAGTTGTCGAATGCTAGGATTCCTGTGCCCGGCTGTTGCTCTGTCAATCTGAGCCTTGGATATTGCAAGGCTTCCCGCCGCCGCTGCAGCCAGATGTTTGGCCAAAGACTTGTCGTGAGGCACTCTTCGCATGGCTTCACAAAAAGGATTCGGGATTCCAGTTTGATGCAAAGGATTGGTGTTTGCCTTTAGGCATGCGGCATAGGGAAAAGCCTAAGTGGTCATGTATTTGTTTGATTGAGTGCGTTTCTGGGCTGGACTTGCCTGAACAAACAACATAATTTCCAGAGGCTCGACAAAAATCTTGTCTGGTGACCAACATCTTGTGCGCTTCACGAGTCATGAGCCGAACTTGGCGATTTCGATTGTAGAGAAAGCAGAACAACTGACCTCTCAAGCAAAGGGTTCTTTTCTCTGGTGCATAGGCTCTACACCACTTGACAAGCAATAGCTTAGGTCGTGGACTTCATCGAAGGACTTGCCATCTGCTTCCTGCAAGACCTTCTTCAAGAAGAGGGCCACCTGCAATATCCCAGTTTCATTCTGAAGAAGGTACTACAGTATACTTTGCGACTTGATACGTCCGCGAAGGACAACATGAACTAAACAAATCTTTACGAAAGTCACCTAGCATTCCTCTGTGAGGTTGCCTCAAAAACATGATGTTGATGCTGCCAGTGGGTACTTCGGTAAATTAAAACATGGACCCGACGACATATGTATATATATATAATAGAATATATAGAGAGAGAGAGAGCCAAATAATTGCTGCAAATATTCACTCAAACACTCAGATTGGGCTGGGACACATGGGTAGGCCTGTCCAGCTTAGGTCCGGCCTTCCCCTCCTTCTGGGTTTTAGATTTCTTCACCTGGAGCCAGTCAGGCACAAGTCCACTTCAATATACGTCAATCCGAAAAGAATGGAATACTCCATCCTGAAGGGAAATGAGCAAAACCAAGTTCAGTGGTTCAGTTGAGTCAGGTCTAGGTGCCTGGAGTTGATGAAAAGCTAGTCAAATGGACATGACCTCTCAGTTCGTTTCAATCGTAGCTCTTTCACACTGCACTTTCTGGCCTCCTCCTCTTCTGCCTTTCCCTCGGCCTCCTCCTCTTGTGGAGCCTCTTCTGCCTACCAATTTCAAGCCCAAACAAGCATGGGGGTCTTTCATGAGCTCTGTAGCTTGTTGAAACTCTATAATATATTTAATATATATATATATATACCCCAGTCATAGCCCTAAAAGTGACCACACCCAACTGACTCTCTGATTCTAAACATTGGCCTGTGTGTCATCATTGGCCATCATTGGTAGCAACCCCGCAACATGACACGACGTACTGGAGAAAGCTAGTCTGGTAAAACATGGAGCTTTCTGATAACATGGATACAGCCGCAGCCAGCTTTGATGCCTTTCAATCTACTCAGCAAGTACACAAGCGAATGGCCATTGAAAACAATGGTTGTTGTGCCCAGGATTTCAGCCGAGGCCTCAGGCTCCTTGGCAGGTTTCATGGGCTTCACGGCCTCATCCAAAGAACACAATCTTCCCAAGGTGTTTAAGCTGCAGCTTGCACAATGAACTGCCTGGAGAAGTGCCATAGCAACACAAGCAATTTTAACTTGCACTTGTAGCAGAACCAGCAATCAGTTTCACTTATATAAAGAGTCATGTTCGCTTCTTTTGGGTTCGCATTCTTCCATGTTTCAATCCTCGGTGGTTTGCCGCTGATAAAACATGCGGCGGCCTGCCTTTGAACCAGCAGCCTTTGCCTTTGCTTTGGCTTTGGCTTTGGCTTTTGCCTATCAATCTAGCAGCTTTTACAGGTTTTCTTCTAGACACACTGGGTTCCCTGAGACTCCTGGCTCGAACGGGCTTTCGTTTGTCAATTGACTGAGCTCGCCTAAAGAAGCCAAAAAAGAGGAAGAACCTAGAGATGAAAGATGCGGAAAATGAATGTAGTTTAAAGGAGCCTTAACTTCTTTTCACTACTCCTTGTGTTCCGTTTAAAAATTGTCTTGGAGCCTTGCCAGCCTTGGCCTCAGCCTTCATGGCAGCCTTGCTTTTGGCCTTGGCCTTGGCCTTCGCCCTGGCCAGCTACGGCTAACAGGACCACAGCTTCATGAGACGTTCATGTGTAGCTATGAGAACTGTGAAAGGCAACCTTGAGAGCTGTATCACCTAGTCTAAATCTAATAGCCAACGGCACTAACACAAGCGTTAAGAGCCTCAAATATATGCAACAGGCTGCTCAAACAGTGTCGGAGACGCTTGGCTTTTGGTTTCGGTCCCATTGCTGTGTGTTTCAGAGATAGCAAAACGATAAAATTAAGTCTCCAGTGGGATTGACATGGTAAGGAGTATGTTACACAACACCTGTGCACAAAACCTCAAGCATCATTTACCCTTAGAAGCCATGTCTTGGACCGAAACTGCATTGAATCCGAATCCTAGTCTTATTGCCCAAGCATCAAACTGCTCTGCACCTGCCAGACCGCAAGCAAACCTTTGGATGATGGCTCTTTCCGCAGCTCAAAGTCTGTCTTTGAGCAGGGGCCTTCGTTTCAGCCCCCTATCTGCACAGCCACAGTGCTGAGCACACCCGAGCTTCCCAATTGACAACTAGCAAGAAATGTGTTGTTCAAAACAAGAAAAGCACTGAGAGGTTGGGATGGTTCCGTCTGGAATAGTAGTCTACCATTTCTAGAGGCGCTGGATGACACCCAACACCACACTTGCACTCATTATCATTGATGCACATTCTTCCATGAGGCTAATCTAGATTGGGAGATTCGGTGTCTCTGCTTTCAAACATCCAGAGCTTGTGAAGATTTACTCGGCAGCACCAGAGTTGCTGATCTCTTCCAAGACACGGTTGGCAAGCCGGATCTTTCGTTCCCGAGCCTTGGTGCATCATTACAGCTGAGATGCCAAACAGGCCAATGTTCACGTTTGATCACTCCGAAGAATCATGAACATGGCTCACTACGAGGAAAACGTATTTTGTTTAAGAGATTTGTAGGTCCAGCCTCAAGCTGTCGTTCAAATGTCCACTTTCGATTGTATATATGTATATATATATTTTTTTTTAATTTATGTGTGTGTGCCACCCTCTGCTTCTAAGAGTTCTACGTGTACTTCACTTCGACAAAGCAGGGGACTGGAGCCGATTTGCCTATCCAGTCCAAGGAAGCTATGGCATTTCGGTGGATGAGTGGTCTGATCAACCACTTGTACCTGCGACCTTGGAACTTTTGCCCACGCTGTGACTCCACTTTTCCTTCGGTTTGCTTTCATGGCTTTTCCTCACGATACTACCCCCAAAAAGGTTTCCCTCCGCAGCTTTCTGCCGCTTTTGAACCGCCGTTGAATTTCCGCAGATGTGCACCAACATTTATTGAAACACCTTCAAGTGCACCGACGCTTCACCTTTATGGTTAACTGAAAACCCTATGACTAAGTGTGCGCCGCTCTGTCGTCCCACTGGGCGCAGAATGTGATCTCCCGCAAGGGAGCGCTGAGACCATTGGGAATCACATATTGGTTTGGCGTTTTTGCACTTGTGAATCAGGTTACTGGCTCGTTTCTGTCTCGCCCATGAATCCTCGGAATCCTATGTTGCCGACCTACGGAGATTTGACGCCGCCGGGCCCACGGAGTTTCTCCCGCTCTCGTTTCAGAGCTTTCGCGGTTCAAGTCTTTTGACGCTGGCATCCACGTTCGTTCATGTACTGTTACAGGTTTGGTTGGCCAGCTTCCTGACATTTTCACGACATCTCATGTACAACTAGTTTCACTTGTACGCTCCGATGGACGTTCAATCCACATTTTGACTATGTTTTGATGCGCTTCCATTTTTCTACGTTTTGATTGTTTTGGTAAGAATTTTTTCAAGATTGTCATCATCCTTTCTTGCACGGCGCCGATCCATCGCGCTGCCGCTGCCACCGCGCTGCTGCTGACGACAACGGCGAGTTGATTCACTTTCAGCAGCATGCACTTTTCCGTGGCCGTACCCCTATGCACCACAGCCACCACCAATGACGATGTTCCACAGCTTGGTCCAGCACTGGCAGCAACAGCAATCAACTCACACCGTCACCATCGACACCCAAGCTACGGGCAATCCGCATCATCACTCTCACATTGGACGCCGTCACCACAGGCATCCTACACAACGCACCCTTCACACAGATGACATCACAAACAGTGTGACCTTTGCACTCAACACATGTATTTTCCGAGCATGCATCCCACTTAGCAGCAGATCTGCGGCGCCGGGATTGGCTCCCAGCTGTCACCGGCCCTGCGCAACGCGGCTATCACTCTTATCGAACACTCCTGGCAACAACTCCACAACAACCTCCTACACCACATCCATTTCCATTTCAACTGCTACCGCTACGTAGACAATCGTTTCATCACACACAACGAGCATTTCCTCTCACATTCACTGTCCAAACCCTCATTCACCACGACTTCTTTGGCGACCCCGTGGAACTTGAGACGGTTGAAGATTACCGCCTCCTGGGGTTCAACATTGATCTTACCCAACGCACAATCACATCACTTACATCCAACCCACCCAATCCTGGAAAATCCGGGGCGCAGCCAGCGCCGGTAGCAAACCACTCTCCGGCCATGCCTCACGACTACGCACCGTTTATGCCTACACTTTCCCAGCAACAGCGGCAGATGCAGCAGCTGAACAGCTTGTCCACCTCCCTCTATGTCCAAAAAGAACACGCAGCATCCGACTGCAAACGATTTTTGAAGCGACCAAAAAGACTGCTCTCGTTCTTCGGAGCGCCGCTACGCGGCTCTGTGTGTGTGTAACCCTTGGAATCACAAGGAACCCTTGGGTTTGGAGCAGGGGACCATGGCCAGATACATCGTCGCCGGTCAATGAAGCTGGCGATGTATCTGAGGATATGGAAATGGGACGCCATTTCCACGTACCTGCTCCACTATTCAGGAAAACAGGAGGAAATGGTACTCGACACACTTGTGCGTCGGCGCCTTTCCTTCTGTTTTCCTCTAGTCTACTCTATAGGTTTAACGAGGAGGACCTTTAACCCGAACTTTTGGCCTCTACCCACTAGAACTGGCCCTCACCTTTGGCTGTCTTGTGTGTCTTGTGTTCTTGTGGTTCTTGTAACCTGGTAGCACTGGCCTCCAACTTGGTACCATGGCCTCCAACTTACTAGCGACGACCTCCAACTTTGCTTCTCGCTGTCACTTTTGTTTAACTTTGCTTTGCTTGCGCCTAGCGACGACCTCCAACCTTAGGCGTCGGCCCCAACGGCCTTGCGATGGCCTCCAACAAAAGGCGTTGGCCTTTAACCTACTACTTGTCATTTCTGTTTTGCTTGCGCCTATTGCCCACCACCTACTAGCGACGGCCTCCAACCCTAGGTCTTGGCCCCAACGGCCTTGCGATGGCCTTCAACCAAAAAGCGATGGCCTTTAAGCTACTAGTTGTCCTGGCACCTCAGGTTTTTTAAACTCAGGCTGGCGCGCGGCACCGCATTCACATCAGTACGCAAAATCATAAGTGTGCCTCTCCCTGTGGACCCGTCGAACGGGCGTTAGTCTTTATCTCCCCTGCCCGGAGATGTACGTGCCCAGAGCGGGCGTAGGTGGCCTAGGCCGAGAGATTTACAACCTTTGTCTCATTGTCAGGCCGTGCCCCAGGTAGTTCTAACTGATCCCGTTCGAGTTCGAGTTCAAGTTCGAGTTCGATGCGCGAGATTGCGTGGATCGAGCGAGAGGGGGGTGGACCAGTTCGAGTTCGAGTTCGAGATCGAGTTCGGATCGACAACACAATTATCGAGCCGGGGGGGTGGACAAGTTCGAGTTCGAGTTCGAGTTCGGATCGACTACACACTTAGGGCCTTGTAACGGGGGGTGGACCAGTTCGAGTTCGAGTTCGGATCGACACACAACAACAGCAACGAGAACCAACAGCAACGACAACAACCACAACCGCAATCGCCACGACCCACAACACAGAAGAAGAACAGGAACCAACCAAGCTAGCAACAAAGCAATCAACCTGTTGAAAGTATCCGCGCTGCGCAGTCTCATCTTTGCAGCCAACACTTGTTTTATTAGGATCTGGTGTGCTGCTGGGGGGGGCGCTGCGCCCCCCCGAACCCCCCCCGCGCCACGAAATCTGCACTTCCTCTCCAAAACCCGCGCCTGCCACGAAATCAACATTTTAGTGTGAACTCCCTGCCGCAAAAACCCTGCTAACCAACCAACCAACAGCCACCTGCCAGCGGCGCCAGCAGCAACCAACCAACTGACCACAACGTAGCATCCCTTTTGTGGGCCATCCGAGGGTAAAATTTAGAATAGGAAGAAGCCTATTGCAACGTGGCATGCCTTTTGTGGGCCACAGATACAGTTTAGAGTAGGAAAAAGCCATTGCAACGTAGCATTCCTTTCGTGGGCAAAATTTAGAAAAGGAAGAAGCCATTGCAACGTAGCGTGCCTTTTGTGGGCCACCCGAGGGTGAAATTTAGAGCAGGAAGGAGCCATTACAACGAAGCATTTCTTTTTGTGAGCCACCCGATGGTAAATTTTAGAGTAGGAAGGAGCCATTACAACGATTTACAACGTAGCATTCCTTTGATGGGCCATTCGAAAGTAAAATTTAGAAAAGGAAGAAGCCATTGCAACGTAGCATGCCTTTTGTGGGCCACCCGACAATAATATTTACAGCCGGAAGGAGCCATTATATTACAACGTAGCATTCCTGTTGTGGGCCATTCGAAGGTGAAATTTAGCATAGGAAGGAGCCATTACAACGCAGCATTAGTTCGAATTCGACTTCGAATCGACGATAATTTTTACACCCCGGGGGGGGAACCAGTTCGAGTTCGAGTTCGAACTTCGAATCGACGACAATTTTGACACCGGGGGGGGAACCAGTTCGAGTTCGAGTTCGAATTCCAATCGACGACAATTTTGACGCCCGGAGGGGGGGAAACGCAGTTCGAGTTCGAGATCGAATTTCGAATCGACGACAATTTTGACACCGGGGGGGGGGACCAGTTCGAGTTCGAGTTCGAGTTCGAATTCGAATCGACGACAGCGATTTTGGAGTTCGACTCTTTCTATTCGTCCACTGGGTTGACTTCTAACAGTTCCAGTTCGAGTTCGAGATCGAGTTCGAGATCGAGTTCGAGTTCGAGTTCGGTTCCTTCCATATATCCTTTCAAGGTTAAGTTCATCAATACTGTATAACTGTTCCAGTTCGAGTTCGAGTTCGAGTTCGAGCGGGGCACACTATGCTCATTGTTGAACTCCAAGCTGGCTCATGCCTGTACGTGACCGCAGCGGTCTAAGCAGTCAACCACTTTGGCAGAGCACAAGGTGACCACAGCGGTCACAGTATCTTCAAGGTTCGTTGGAATCTGCCGAACGCTTAGCCCCCCTTCCTCCCCGGCCCCAACGGCCTTGCGATGGCCTCCAACAAAAAGCGCTGGCCTTTAACCTACTACTTGTCATTTCTGTTTTGCTTGCGCCTATTGCCCACCACCTACTAGCGACGGCCTCCAACCTTAGGTCTTGGCCCCCAACGGCCTTGCGATGGCCTCCAACCAAAAAGCGATGGCCTTTAACCTACTACCTCAGGTTTTTTGAACTCAGGCTGGCGTGTGGCACCGCATTCACATCAGTACGCAAAGTCATAAGTGTGTGTCACCCTCTGGCTCTAAGAGTTCTACGTGTACTTCACTTCGATAAAGCAGGGGGACTGGAGCCGATTTGCCTATCCAGTCCAACGAAGCTATGGCATTTCAGTGGATGAGTGGTCCGATCAACCACTTGTACCTGCGACCTTGGAACGTTTGCCCACGCTGTGACTCCACTTTTCCTTCGGTTTGCTTTCATGGTTTTTCCTCACGATACTACCCCCAAACAGGTTTCCCTCCGCAGCTTTCTGCCGCTTTTGAACCGCCGTTGAATTTCCGCAGATGTGCACAAACATTTATTGAAACACCTTCAAGTGCACCGACGCTTCACCTTTCCGTTGAGCCATTCCTTTCCTCGGGATTATGGTTAACTGAAAACCCTATGACTAAGTGTGCGTATACAGTGTGTGTGTGTATGTTTTTTTGAGGGTCGGCTGGGGCTCCGCACCCGCAAGCCCTCTCCGCTGCTGAAGAGTGATCTGTTGATTCCACCGTAGCCCGGAACTGAGAGTTGGAAGGGGCGATGAAGGACGTATCGTCCATGGGTTCCATCACGACTTACTTGTTGCTTGTTGGCTTTATTGTTTGTATCCAACAAGTGGACGAAAGTGGATGGCTCATGTGTTCAAAGAAAAAAGTCACCCATCGCCTTCAACTGTCTGTAGACAATAGATGCTCGTTGCAAACATTTCAGAAACGAAAAAGCTCCTATCCCTCGCAGCCTCCTATCCTCCGCTCTGCGTACTTGTCGACAATCTGCGGGCGCGGTTGAATTTGGCATGCAGGACACAGAGTCTCCAATACTATCTACACACTCACACAAGCTTTCGGGGACTTTGTCCCAAGTTTGAATTTAAAGCCCTTGGCCCTGCCTCCTTACTTAATTAAGTAGTTGCCCACTCAATTAAGTAAGGGAGCAGTGAGCTACTAGCAAACTAGGAAGCTCCTAGCAACTGGACGCAGGATAGCTCACGCTAATGATTTGGTTCCTGAATTTTTAGGGAAGCCTTACTGTGCCCAAGCCCAAGTGCTTGCAATTCCCTTCTCTGAGGACTTATTGCTCTTCATGCGCGACTGGATCTATTTGTTAGAGAGGATCCCAATCTGCTTTTTTTCCAGCTATATATACATATATACATATATATATATATATCTGTTGCAATGAAGACTAGTCTCTAACAATGCAAGGCGTGGGCGTAGCTTCAGGTCAGTGAAGCAGCTTAAATACCACTGTGTATGGCTGCATTCAAAATCCGCACATCTTCCATAGCACTTTCTTGATAGTCATAACCTCTCAGCAAAAATCAAACGCGTTTGTTTGCAAAATGCAGCCGTGTTAGGCTGGAAAGAAATCTAATCTGACGTAAAGGATCTGCCTGACTGGCTCTAAGGACGTGGCCCAACAGTTTAGATGTTCTACAGAAATATAACTGACTAAATGATTTAATGTCCCGTTGGTCGCCTCATTTGGGTACACAATCGCTGTACACCTTTGCAAAACGACTCTATTGGAGCTTCCTCGTTCAACGTGGATGGGATTTTGAGGATTCTCCTCAAACAGCACACTTGGAAGGTATCAATCTTCAACATTGCCGTAAGATCGATAGTTTCAAGATCACGGCATCAAAGATAAGCAATTGCCATTTGACGTTTGCATTTGTTGCCTTTCAGTGCGGCAGAGGTCTGAAAAATGCTTTCCTTATATACTTCCTGCATGTTGTTCAAGATGTCGCACCACGTAACCTTTTCGGGAGCAGTTCAAATCTTGCCAAAGTGGACCAAGACATCGGTGTTCATCGTATCACCACGCACTTATCTTCGTTTAGTCGCAGACCATACTCGCATGAAACCGTTTCTGTCAGAGTTGTAGATATTCGTTCAAGGCTCGGTTTTCTAGAAAGAGAAAATAATGGTATCAGCATCTGCATAGTAAACCAAGTCAACATTCAGATTTGGTGTTCTTTCATTGTGTAATCCAACCGCTCACAAATTTGAAATCGACACAAGACATAACAATAACAAATAAGTAGCCCGTAACCCTATCTAATCCGAAAAGACCGCTGTTCATATTGGAAGGATGCGAATGCGTCTTTTGCAAAAAAGAGCTGTCTTTTGCAGCCAATCTTGAATGATATCGCAGTCATGCTGGCTGAATTCCCATTTTGCTCAATGCCAAAACAAACTTACCACGCTGTATCTTGTAAAATTAAGAAAGGAAACTTTTCCGAATCGAGGCAAAGACTCAATTGAGTTCCTGAGAACTATGGACGACATTAATGGCGTGAGAAGTGGACTGTGGGTCTAAACCGAATGCAAGATGCCAGAAAGACAATTGTGTTCATGGCATCTTGCATTCTCGGTCGGATGACCATATACACTTGGTCACTTTCTGCTTAGGAGCGAAATAGGTCTAGTTGTCAGCATCTCCTTGTTTGAGAATTGGAGCTACCTTTGCAATAAACAATTCTTTGGCGCCTCCTTATGTTACCACCAATTGTTGATTAGGTTCAGAAGGTGGTGCTGGTTGTCATGGTTATATAGCCATTTAGGTAGCTCCATTTGCAAGCCATCTGGGCCAGGTTGCTTACAGTAGTGTTTTTGGAAATATGTGATGCACTGATAAATTATTCAAGTGTGAACGGCCTTTTATCGGCCCCATTTCTTTGCAAGTCAAAATTTATGACAAACCACATTGTTCAAACCTGAAAGACTCCCATGTAGATTGACTTTGGGTGTGTACTGCTCCCACTCTTTCCCACATGCTCAAACATTCCAGTATGTTGCACACATCCCTTTCCACATACACGCGTGCACTGCCGATAGGAACGGAATGAATCTCGAGCCCCAGACATATTTCCTTCGAAGAAAATAATCCTCCATGTGTGCTCCTGCACAAGTGCGAAGAGCTTGACTAAAGGCGTCCAAATCATTATATAACCTAGCTGTCTCACATTAAGCTTTACACTACAAAACTTGCATTCTGCTTGCACAGCATTAAAACAAATCCAAAACTAGCCTTGATTTCCCAATGTGCTGAAGAGACTAGATCCATGAATCCATGAAGTCACCCCATGTTCTAAACAGAAGCAAACACAAAAACACGAGCCTCTTTCATCCATTGCATCAATCTCTGCTTGCTTCTGCCGCAGCTTCTCCTCAGCAAAACTTGAGGTGTCCAAGTCTGTCTGCAAACATTCAAAGGATTCTCACAAAATTCTCAAAGGACGATCAGTGACGATCGGGTGAAGGTACAACGCTTGTGAGGTCCAAGTCCAAGAAGTTCGAGCCCAAGGAGCCCAAGGAGTCCAAGTCCCTCACACGGAGCTCAGGCAGTTCTTGCAGTAGACTGAACCACTCTTCTGGACCTAAGAGGCTGAAGCAGCTTGGGCGACGTGTTTGATACCAGCCTGAAGTGGCTTGGGTTTCAACCGGGCCACAATTAGATACCAAAATCAAGCACACCCACCAAAGACACCGGACATATGGCATATTCTAGTACCTGGCCACCCGGCGCAAGAAGAGCATGGGCCGCTGGCGAAAGTCTGTGGCGCACAGCAAGGTCTCCGGCCTCAGCAAAAGGCATTTGGCAAGATGACTCGATTGAGAGAAAGGAGGTCATAGCCTCACAGTAGGTTCAAGCAAAGTTCTATTGTTCAACCAAGTTGTTTTTGCAAAGCATGTAAAAAGTTTGTATGATTGAACACTGAACACCCTCAGACACTTGCCCAGGCTTGATCTTGGCCAAAGTTGCCCTGGCCAAAGACGAAAGAAACAAGAAACAGATTGAGTATCAAAGGAACTCTGCTGGGCAGACTGCAACATCAACCGTTGTGTGTCATCTGAATGCAGACAGTCCAAGCGATTGTTCTTAGCCGTATCCTTTGAAGCCCTATGTGTCTTCACCTCAACAACTCCCTAGGATGGGCAACTATACGCAGCGTAGCCTGCGGGCAGCCAACGGTTGGTGCTTCTCCTTGCCACCGATATCTGCAACAGCCTCAAAGTCGTGTGATGACAAGTCTTCAGCAGTGAGAATAATATCCCCCAAAACTGCGCTTTTCTAGATGAGCTGGCTTCCACATTAAGTGTCCGCACTAAAGCACATCTCTCTCTTTCAATCGCCCCTGTGATTTCTTTCGACATCTTTGGACCAACTCCCCACATAGCGCGAGCGCTTCTTCAAGGAAGCTCCCCCTGCCACCCTAAGGGGGAGCTTCCTTGAAGCTACATAATTAAGTAAGACCTGTTTTTTAGAAAAGAAGAAACACATACATTCCTTCTCACTCCTGCTCCATGCGCCCGGTCCAGCCCATACGGCCCGTACCTCTCCAAGCATGGAGGCTGCATCTTCATCCCGCAACCACGCAGGTCGCAGTTCATCTTGGCTCGGGGCCTCGGGCGACGACAGATTTCGTAGGTTTCGAGCAAGTTCGGGTGAGTGCTAACAATGCATCAAGTGGATTCTCGTTATTAGCATTAGCATGCTACACATTCCTGGCTCAACAAAAAAGAGATGTCAGCTTTTCTGGGTCATCATAAGTGTTGCTTCGGGGATCAGGAATGCGGCCTCAATGACATGAGTCTTTGTGAAAACCAGAACATGTGAGCGAAAGAGAAGGGTCTACTGAATTGTGGTATTGCTTTCATAGCACTCTGCTGCCTCTATGGGGGAAAAATGGGTTCTTAGACATCAGGAAGTTGGTCAGGGTGGCTTTGTGAGACTCGCGAATGCTCAAAAAAAACAAAACATCACTGGCTGGGCTACTGCACTCGAGGGTCGCCACGGATTTCAGTGCCTTTAGGGGCATTGTAGACCTCAAGTTCCGAAGGCCCTCATGACTGAAATATATCATGGAGGATGAGGGTGAACTTGGTGAAGCCATGACTTCAAAACTCTCTCATGAAGCTCTTGTTCCTAAGCGATGCCGTTTGTTACTAGTAGCTTCATCCGGTGCTTTTGTTGCCTGCGCTTGAGCACTGTCACCCATGGCCGAGCCGCGAAGCACTGTCTCTGCAGTGGCCCACGGCACGTCACAGGGCCCTAAGCAAACCGCAGTGCCTGGCCTTGCTGGTACATCATAGACTCTTGAATAGAACATATTGGAGTAATATGGAAGGAACATATTCACATATTAACGTATTAACATGTAGCATCATGTAGTGTTGGTATAAGGTTTGCAATGCGCAATGTACCTGCCCTTGCCCTTTGCACCAAAGTTGCAAAAGGCTGGCTAGGCTAGCAATCCCCAGAATAACGAACCACCGATCCCACAATCACAATCAACACAAATCCCAGCAAACCACGAAACACCGCAAACACACCACGCCGCCGTAGGGTCCCCCCAATCGCTTGAACGTGAACAAGTCACCACAAATAATCGCAAATGAAAAGACATCTTCAGTCATCACCACAAATCTGCAAGAAGCACCAGAAACAGCCACAAATCACTCCGCAACACCACAGCACAGCACACAAAATCGAATCACCAAAGCTACAGGGCATCAGCAGGCTTCACCACAAAGCGCATACACGCAAACCCCAATCATCTCACACACACACACACATATATATATATATATTATATATCCGCCGACCCCGGAGGCGCCTGGGACACCGCAGGGTGAAGCAGTTGGCCACGTCGGCAGCCCTCAAAGCCTTCTCGGCAGCTGGCAGGCCTGCCTCTTCTCTTCTTCTGGGCTTCCGAAAGCGACGTTA